GCCACACACAATGGCTGATGTGGAAGGGCCCAGCCCATGGTGAATGGTGCCACATTTGGGCAGGTGGTCCTGTTGTGTGTAAGAGCGCAAGCTGAGCAAGCCATAGGGAGCAAGCCAGTTCCTGGCTTGAGTTCTTGCCCTGCCTTCCCTGAGTGATGGAGTGTGACCTGAGAGTTGTAATTTGAAATAAACCCTTTTTTTCATAAGTTGCTTCCGGCCATTTTTTTTTTTTTTTGTAATCACATCAATAGAAACTCTAAGACAGTAATTGGTACAAGGTTCATGGGGGTATTGCTGTGACAGACCCGACCATGTTTTGGGGAAGACCGTGGAAGAACTTCAGAACAGTGGGTTGGAAAAGCTGTTGAGTCTTCGTGGCTTAGGGGGTTCGGAAGACAAGAATATTTAGAGAAACTGAGACTGGCCTGTAGGGAAGTCTGGAGTTTTTCCGGATTAATGACTGATGTGAGAGGCCCCAGCCCATTGTAGGTAGGTGGTGCCACACCTGGGCAGGTGGTCCTGGGCTGTAAAAAAGAGCAGGCTGAGCAAATCCTGGAGAGCAAGCATTCTCTCATGGCCTCTCTGCTTTAGTTCCTGCCTTCAGGGAATGTGACTTGAGAGTTGTAAGCTGAAATAAAACTTTTCCTCCCCAAGTTGCTTTTGATCATAGTGTTTCATCACAGCAATAGAAACCCAAACTCAGACGAGTATCTTCTAACTGCACTGGAGGATCAGCTGTGTCCTAACACACGGCAATCAATTCCCACTCCATCTTCCCTACAAAGGCTTTTGAATACCAACAATCTCCAGCGTGTATCTACCTAATTCCTATGAGATGGAGTGGTGCATTCCCACTTATTGACAGTTAGTTCATCTTGGTGCCAAGAACGTGCGTGCGTGCGTGCGTGCGTGCGTGCATGCGTGCGTGCGTGCGTGCATGCGTGCGTGCGTGCGTGTGTGTGTGTGTGTGTGTGTGTGTGTGTGTGTGTTGCATTCCTGAGTGTGTGGGAGGTGGGGGTGTAGAAGCCAGAGGTTGATGCTAAGATGTCTTTCCTTGACCACGTTTCCACCTTCCTTTGAAACAGGGCCTTTTACTGAACCTGTTTGAGTTATACTGGGTGGCCATCAGGCTCCCAGGACCTGCCTGCCTCCACCATGCTGGGGTTATAGGCACTTGCCTCCATGCCTGCCTTTTACATGAGTTCTGGGATTCCAAACTTGGGCCTTCATACTTGTGCAGCAATTAATTTACCCATGGAACCACCTCCTCAACCCCCTCAAGAATGTTAAAAATGTGTATGAACCAAGTATATGAACCATTAAAAGTTAACTGCCAGTAATAAAACCTGTACAATTTGGGCATATTCACAACAGCTAATGTGAGCACATTCAAAGAATGTAGACTCTTGGCATAGTTTTCCAACACTCATGCCAGAAAATGTTATTCTTTTTTTATTAATGTTTTTCAAAACATTAATCCTACACAACAAATTTAAGTCTTAATGTCCCTTACCAGTGGGTTTTAACAATTAGTTGGTCAATGAAAAGGACTGAACTGTTTGAACCAAAAGACCCAGCTATTTTAGCCACACATGAAACTGTTAGAACTGCAGGAGTCATTCCAGAACATGTGATCCCTCCCAGGTGAACTTCAGAGAGTATTCTCTAATACAGCTATGGGTCCCTGGGACCCTGTGGCCACAGCACTGCAGATGCCCTGCATCTTCCCAGGGGCGGGGCAATGGGACACAGAGCTGGCCCCTGCCTAAGCTCAGGTTCCAGGAGGACAGAGTGCTTCTGCCTGTCTTTCTGCATTCCTAGGGGAGGTTCAAACTGACCCAGGGTCTATTTTAACTCAGTTAAAGCATATGCTTGGCTAGTGGTTTTCATCAAAGGAAATCTTTAAAGCAGCCACAAAAGAAGAGCTCTGAACATCATTAAACATGTTGTCTTAACATCACCAACTAAATTACTACTTTTCTGTGTGTTTTAGATAAAATTGCTGCATAGCATAATAATGGGCTGGTCTAGCCAAGAAGACAGGGTTCGTGCAGCACAAGGAAGCCCTGAACTGAGTATGTATCAGAGGATGACCATGAACTCCTGATCTTCCTGCCTCCACCTCCCACGTGCTGGGATTACAAACCTGGGCTGCCCTACCCCCCACTCCCCCTCCCCACTCACAGGCTTTGTTTACATCACCAGTTTCCAACCTGTGAGTCCCAACCCAAGGGAGTTGAATGACTGGTTCACAGGGGTCACCTAAGACAATCAGAAAACACAGATATTTACTTATTATTCGTAACAGTAGCAAAATTACAGTTATGAAGTAGCAACTAAATAATTTTATGGTTGGGGGGTCAGCACAACACAAGGAGCTGTGTTAAAGGGTCGAAGCGTTAGGAAGGTTGAGGACCAATGGATTAGATGATGGGAGGAAATGTGTGTCCTGGAGCCACAAAAAATGGAACCAGATTCTTCTCTCAGCCCTTAACGATCCAATTGTGTAGTCCTGATGTCGCTACCAAATCTCAGGGTGGCTCCCTAGATCTGTAGACTAAGGAATTAATAATTTACCCAAGAATGCATGTGGGCATTCTAGAAATTGTGTGTAATGGCTACTTGTGTCCAACATACACCAAATATGCTCATTTCTAAGAACATAAATCCTGTTCGTAAAAGATGAACACAACTTTATAAAGAAAAACTTTAAAGAGGAATAATTATCTTTTATCACTATAACAAATCACAATTCAGTACCCATTTCCTAGTAAAGAATCCACTTCTTAAAAAAACTAAAGAACCAAGGGCTGGAGATATAGCTCATTTGGTAGCATGCTTACCCAGCATGCATGAAGACCTGGGTTCGATCCCTAGCACCAGATAACCTGGGCGTGTCAGTTCATACCTATAATCCCAGTGCTCCATTGCTATAGAAATAGATGCATCACTCTTGGCTACAGTGAGTTCAAGACAAGCCTGGACTACATGAGACCCTGTCTCAAAAAAAGTCAAGAATCCAGCCAGGTGGTGGTGGCACACATGCCTTTAATCCTAGCACTCAGGAGGCAGAGGCAGGTGGATCTCTGTGAGTTCAAGGCCAGCCTGGTCTACAGAGTGAGTTCCAGGACAGCCAAGACTGTTGCGCAGAGAAACCTTGTTTCAAAAAAACTTAAGAATCTAAAGATGTAGATGACAGATTTGGTCAAGAGTTTGTTTTTAGTACTTAAAGGAGAAAGGGTTTCTTCTGGCCCACAGTTCAAGGGAAATCTGACCGCAGAAGTGGGAGGCAGCGGGTCACATGGCACCCACAGTCCAGAAGCAGACCATACCAGATGCTCTTTTTTTTATTCAGTGTGTAGTTTGGGTGAGTCTTCCCACCTCAAGGAATTTTCATGCTCAGAAAGTTGTCAGCAAGGTAAGATTCTACAGTCTGTCAAGTTGACCATCGATATTAACCACCACGGACGATTATCTCGATTATCTCAGGCATAAACAGAGTACTCATAGCACAAGAAAGTGAATTTCAAAGGTCATTGGGAAAATTCCCTTAACACTGTTGTCCCTTCTGACTTCGTTCTTACCCGAGAGTCCCTTCCCTTAGTTCACCTGTCTCTGCTCCAGTGTTCCCATACGGGAAGGGCCTGCCTGACCACCCCACTGAAAGAAATGATCAGAAAACAGGCTCTCCCCCGCTGTAAGATTCTTCCTTTTTCTTACTCACCACCTGTCATGTTATAAACACAGTTGTCTTTTCTCCAGGGGTAATCTCCATGAGAGGAATTTTGTTTGTTCACTGACTATAACTCAGCTCTTCATAGAACATTTGAATCACAGTCACTACTCAGTAAGTAATGGACAAATAAATGAATGTACGTGTCGGCTGAATGCCACACTTCCGATTCGGTTTCCAGCAAGGCAGACATTCAAACCAATCTTCTGAGACACACGGGGCAGACATTTAATAATTCCCATACTGTTTCGGTTTATGAAGCAGGTGGATCTACGTTACCCTGCAGAGTTTACACACGGCAAGTTTTGCTTCCTCTCCCGCCGGGCTGTGCTACTAACCAACAGACCGCGAGCCTTTCTATCAGCTCCGTTCCTCCACACTCACGGAACCCCCACACCTCCTTCCTTAACCATACTGGTCTCTCAGCTCCATTCCTCCACACTCACGGAACCCACACCTCCTTCCTTACCATACTGGTCTCTCAGCTCCATTC